TTTTTTTTCATGCAAATAGTTTAACAAACAATCTTTCTCGCGCTGTCTAATACAGTCATAAACAACGATGTGAATTGATGCCAAACTGAGCGAAAACACAACACTATACTTTGAGAACATAATATTATCCACAATTGAAATTTACAACAGAAATCAAGTGTCACTTAGCGGGAAGACCATCCTTATTATTGCTGATTGAACGATAAGTGTCGGGTGTAACAAATAGTCGGAAGAGCGGGAAATGAAAGCGGGAAACGAGCTTTGGGAATTGAAGTTTTATGGAGACAATGAAATCGGAGGAAAACAGAAAGATAACGAGAAGGCCAATTTGACTATGGGGTGATATATATACGGCCCTAATTAACTTTAGTTTGGATCGTATCATCACTTTTTATAGCTTACTGTTTTTCCGCCAAAATTGATAGTTGATTTGGCGAGTTTTTACTGAAAAGTAGAACAAACTCGCCACTTGTTTAATAGTGAGTAACAGTCATGGTTACACTAATGACACGACATCTGTGAGCCGATGATATAAAAAAACACTTTAGCCTGAGAGAAAATATGAGGTCATATTTCATGGTATTATCGCCGTCTTTGTAAACACCTAGAACATTGTGCCGAGGCGTCGGCATGGGAACTGATGTAGCTCACATGATAACACGTACTTGGTCGTTTTATCGAACACAGTGGCAGCGACAACATTAAAGTTTACACCCACTCTATATCAACCAGAATATTTGTTACCAAAAAAATAATAAGTTTGTGTGTAGCTCTCACAACATATTCAATGAAAATAACACATGGTGATTTTTAACCAATTACAGCACTGTTTCAAATTCAATAATACAATCATAAGGTAATACAAGTGTGTTCAACGGAAACCCCCATGGAATCATATACCCTAACTCTAAATTCGCGGTAATCGCGTTTCCGAGATTCTGATCCAAAAACAATCCCGGTAGTACCCTCAACGATTAATATAAATACAATATTTCTTAATTATTTCAGACAGGTTTTGACACATCCAAATTAATCACCTTCATATATCTTGGCGATAAAACAGGAAATTCATTTTACTCTGAACATAAAATAACCTGGCAGCGATAAAATATTTTAACTACTGACACGAACCATGTTGACGGTATTCTTAATAATATTTAAGTAATACACCTTTCAGATTGGAAATACAGTCTTGATTGAGGTTGTGAGATTACGAGAAAGAATGTATAGACTATCGTTGCGCGCCAATTTTCTGTTCACGGCAAAGAACTACCAAACATGTTTTAGCCCAACCATGCTGATTAAATATACATAACTTAAACACACAACATCTGAGGAAATATAAATATATGCACAAATGTACAAAATAAATACAGTACAATAGAGTTCATTTGTAGTTCAGAATTTCGAAATTCCCGTCATGATACAGAGAGTATGATCGATGTACATTGCACTATAATAACTGAATTTGAGCAATGATGCAAACGTTATAAAATTTTATTACGTTTGCGTCATTGGTTCATTTAAACAATGATATCATAGTTAGGGATACATTGGAGACATAAACTTGGTATGCAAATTGCCTACTTAATATTCACAATTAAATGGTGCAAACCTTTTCTACGATACATCCTCATTATTTTAAAGGGCCGCGTTCGTCGCCACGCGTCGTGTTCAATATGAGTCTTCTACGCAATCACATACATTTTTTGTTTAATTACACGAAATTTGACAACCGTCCTTTAACTCATTATGTATGCGTCAAGCTACAGTATAGCCTCTGAAATAAAATACGAATTTACTGTTCAAAATAGACCGCATTTATCAAGCTCGTCTAGTTATTCAGTTAAAGAGAATGGGTCTAAAATTAAAGTGGTCGACGACAGACTGACCGTTTTTCATTAAATCGACCCCACCCAAAACCCAATTCAGTTACTACTCTCAGAGCTTACCAACTGTCATTGCGGCAAAACCAAATAAATAAAAACAATATGTTCGTGTACGATGTAAATGGGAGCATATTTCGTCAATATTTTATTTAGTATACAATTTTCATCGATGTGATTGTCCTGCCCAAGTTCATGATCGACCGAAATAATAAAACGTCGTCAATAAAGGAACCGCGTGTCCGCCTCTAATTCTCCTAGGTTATTTCCGTTTAACGACCACCCAGGGAAAAAACGTTCATCTTAAACTTGAACGATTTCATGACACTTGATGATATTTCGCCCTTTTATTAGGTCATGAAACCGTTTGAATACACCGGCGATTTGATGTGCATCTCAGGTGCGGAAGTTTCAGGTGCGAAACACTGACTTCCTGTTCTTTGTACTTACCAATAGGAGTCTCTTGCATGTTTTCATCGATTCGTTGCAAATATAATTGTTATTGTACTTTAGACGGACTAATGAGATAAACATATATATATATATATATATATATATATATATATATATATATATATATATATAACTTATAATTTAATACGAACATAAGTTTTATACCCAAGTAGTACTTTCGGCGAAATCTGAAAACGGACACAACTAAAATAATTTAATATACTTAAACTAAAACTAAATAAATATTTTTTTCGTCTGGACATCATGATGATGTAATATTGCATCCCACTCTCATGTTGTTGTGTGTTGTCCAACACAGTTGTTATTTTCTAATCTCCAATGGTGCGACAAACTGACCCACATTGTGTTTAACGCAAACACGTAAATACTAACATCCAGGGTACTCATATCAATTTAGATTAATTGTTGTTCTATGAAGCCAATAAAATTAAATTTCCACTGAATTTATGATTCAGCGAAATATTAATATTGTATTTGTGGTATGACTCAGTTGAAGAGATGTGTTCACAACGACTCAAGGGACAATGGAAAACAACAGCAAAACATGGACAACATCAGCTAATCGCGCCACCAATAGTTTCGGTTCTACAGTCGACACATCCACAAGGTGGCGCTCTCACAAAACACAGGCACCCATAATATTTGCATTTATTTGTCTTCACTATACTCTCATTTGATTGAATATTTTTGTTAAACTTCATCCATTTAATAATGATGGATGAGCCAGAGATGTGGCAGCTTTTTTAACAGACGTGGACAGTCAAAATGTTACATTGCACGTTATACCTAGTTGTGATATCCCTGTTATCCTATGTCCACCACCAAGGAAAAAACAGAGATAAAAACATTATTATTTCAAATTCTCTGGCAACCTGTGTCTGAAAGTAATGCAGTACATAGTACAGAGAAAGTGTCGGACTACACTGTTATCCCATAAAGGCAAAACCAAATGAACTTTTAAATATTTGAGTTAATTGAACTTGAACGTCTGTGAGCTGCTGAGTTGCTTACCTTGCTACTGCTTCCCGCTATTCCCTAATGTAATTGCCCGCCCATCTTATCAATTACTGTCAGCGTAACGTTGAAGACAGTATTTCCCGACTATATTATCGAACCAAGAGACAAGATAGAGAGTTTCCGCTGAATATACGACAGCCGTATTTGTATACAAATGTTTATACAAGTTTTACAATGTTGAAAATCAGTGTGTTTGAGAAACAAAGTTTTGTTGGTGATTGTTACATTAATTATTGTACACATCTAACCAAAGAACGGTGATGAAACGGTTTAATCACATTCGTAATTATAGCGTCCTCATACATGAATTTTAAAAGCAGTACGTAATGTAACAGCGCCACCAATGGGCAATATTGTATAACATTTCCCTATACGTTTCTCTATACGTTTCATACGGAACCTTGTTGCGAGCAATGCCATGTATATATTTCAAACTGTATGTATTACATATAATAGGACAATAAACCAACCTTAGATATTACCTTAGATAAAATCTCATATACTGGGAATACTCGACCGGGTCAACGTTTCAAATGAAGCAGGTACAAGTGTGGTTAATTCAGCTGAATATATGGGACAATTATAACGGCGATGTTTCTGTTTACTAATTGATATTTGACATATAATGAAACAATTATACTATATCAACGACTATTTACATACATACATTTGATAGTCATATATTCTGGGGGTGTAAACAAGAACCTGAAACAACACCATATTGTAAAGTCTAAAAAATATGACCATCTGTTTAGCGCTATCCAACCACTTTAAGTCCAAGCTGGACGACACATGCTGGAAGTTACAATGACAAGTAAATACTTCACATTTTACTGGTATTTGATTGCATATATATCAAGGACGTACATGATGGTACAATTCAGTTGGTCGAGAATAAACACGTTATGATAGACGCCCTCACCAATGGTGAATACCAGTGACGTATTTGACGAACAGATCTCGTAGTAATTCACATATTTTTTTGCGATTCTAAAGATATTTAATATTTATCTATATATAATACATTTAAAAGAAATTCCATGTAGGTAATATTGACACGCATTAAAAATTGCACGTGATAAATACAAAAATAACTCAATTTAATAATAATATTATAAGTTTTTTTATTTAAAGCTTAATATATTACAGTCCATCTAACACGATAAGTATCGGATAATGTGTTAGTACCCCCAGCTCTTCTGAGTATGAAGTCTTTCATCGCTGAATAATGTTCATAAGTAGTGCACCAGCATCAAATAAAAACGAAATAAGCACACAAGCTAGTGTGGTACAGTGAAAGAGTATATGCAAATGAGAGGTATGTGAACAATTAATCACCAGGAACACCTTGCTATTCACACACCTTTGTCGGATTTTATATTTGGGTAAAAATAAAGATTGTGACCGGAGAAATCTATAAAAACACATATTAACCTCCTACGCGACTCACCATAACGACAATGGATCTAAATAAGCTAATTGAGGAAATGAATTATCATTTAATAAACAAACAATATAAATTACAATTTTGTAATATTGGTCAAATTTTTGAACGCGTGATAGAGAAAACCGACGAATTCTGATAATACAACAAAATGCAGCCGTATACATGTAGATTGATAGTTATGAGTTCGCAGTCTCTATATTCCCGTTGACATAAGTAGGAGATGTCGGTATTCTATCAATAACTGACATTGTGATACTGTTTTCCCTGTCTCTCGCTATACCAGGGCCATGGCACGCGTCTTTTGCGCACGGAAAGAGCGTTACAAAAGCTCGTCTGTATGCTGTTCTGAAGTCCCTGCCAAACCCATAGAGAAATGGGTTGACAGCTGAGTTACTATGAGATAGCAATATAGCAAACAGTAGCAACTCAAGCGGTACGTCACATCCTGTGGGACAGAAGAGGAATATAGTGTTCAGGATATATATAGGAAACCAACAGACCATAAAGACGATAAAGATAACGGCGAGTGATTTGACTGCCTTTAATTCCTTCTTTGTCCTTCTCCGAGAATTGGTCTGTGGTAGACCTACTTCTAAGGCAGCAATACTTCGTATCTGAAATAATTAAGAGTGATAAAATGATTAACATATTATAATTGAACTTTAACCTTCCAATTTATTCTATTATGGGAAATTGTATTCTTTGAATACGATCAGCAGTAGTCAACGAGTACAATTATATTTTTTTTTAAACACCATGTGAATGTAGGGCATCGGTCAGTCATCAAAAGGTTTGTGTTTTATAAGATCATAACTAACTAAGGATGGCGGCTTAAACGGTACATGACAAAAGTAGGGAATGCAACGTACCATGAGTGTAAAAGGGAATGCGTACTTAGGAATAGGTCATGCACTATTTATTATTTTATAAAATATATAATATTTGGATCAATGGGACGTTTTTATCTAGTTCAATGTACAATAATGTAAAAGCGCGCATATATGAAGTTGGTGTGAAACAGGGTAGTATGTTGTCTCGCTTTTGTCCTCTCTCTCAATCAATCAATCAATCAA